GCCTAGGCATTGCCCTTTTAGTGCTTAGGCGCCACCCACTCTATAATGCAGCACTTAGGCGGCGCTATCGCGACGCTGGGACGTCGTACTATCCTATTTCAAATATGTTTGGGTGCCTAGGTGGCAGCACCCTAGAGCCTAGGCACCAACACCTCAATGCCTGGGTGCCCAGAGCCGTATAAAAGCGAAAATAAATGTTTTTAAGATCATTTTCTTTAAAATTTCTCCCGATCCATTCTCCTTCATCCTTTGAGCATCCTAGGGCATCCGAAATCTTTTGATTTTCTCTTGATCTAGGGGTTTTGAAGGGTAGATCTTGCATTTCTAAGGTAAATATTGCTCTCCTTCGCTCTTTCCTTCAATTTTATTTGGTGCTTTTTTGAGGTTTTACCTTGAGATCTTAGGTTTGGTTGCTGATTAGTGAGTTTTGAGCCTGAGATCTTTGATTTGTTTGTGATTTACTGGTTGAAACGTGAAAATTGGCATTTTGAGCTTCACAATGCTTGTTTTGTTCTTCATTTGCTGCATTGTTTCATGGCACCCAAGACTAAAGGTGGAAAATTTAAATCATCCTTCGATTACAAAAAATTCGTTAGCACAAATGCAGAATGATATAACGATTTTTTGGTTTCGAATAAATTAATTCCATAGAGGGATTTTGAGAACCCAGGAGGTGTCGTGGGATCTATGATTGATAAGAGGGATTGAGAGCAGTTTTGCTTCCATACAGGCATTGCGGTGATTCCTGTTGTGCGGGAATTTTATGCGAACTTGTCTGTGACATCAGCTGATTCTGCCTTTGTTAGAGGAAAGCAAGTGAATTTCTCTTCTTCCAGAATTAAAGCTTTTGTTTTCGTTGCAAGCTTGTTCTGATATTTTTTTACTGCCAATTTACTCTTGTAGATTCTGACATAGTAGAAATTTTAAACTTTTTGACTAATGGTAAGGAACTTGGAAGGTGAGAAACGATATAAAAATTAATTTCCCTTCTGCTTTGACTGTTGTTTTCAAGGCTTGGCATTATTTCTTATCTACCAAGCTTCTTCCCTCTACGAATTTGAGTGAGGTTTCTAGGGATAGGGCTACATTGAATTTCTGTATTCAAATTGGAAAAACTATTGATGTAGAATCCCTTTTTCATCATTTCATTCATAATATGACAAAAGGGGGGTCTACAATCGGACTTGACCACCCTTCTACTATTTTCATTCTGTGCCAAAATTCAGATGTTGCTTATGAGAGTTTGGATGAGCAGCTAAAACTTCTGAAATCTATTATTAAAGAAAATAGTGGGGTTTACAGTCGACATCAGGTATTTAGGCGAGGTGAAAGTTCCTCTCGACCCTCTTCTTCTACTGCTAGACCTCACCTCTCCGCTTCTATGACGTCAATTAGTGGCTTGATACACTATAGGATGACAACGCAATCATACAGACGGAGATGTATGGTTTGGCTGACTGGGTGGCGCATATGGATTGACAAAATAAAAGCCAATTCGATCAGATTCGTAGTTTTTCAGGACACCCAGTTTGAGATGTATAGGAGGAATCAGTGGTTAGGAGATGAGATCCCGATTGTTTTTTGTGTACTCTCCCTATTTGCCTTATGAGAACACCCACCAGCCTATGACAGAATATCAGGAAAAGGAAGAAGAAGGAGGAGGAGAAGATGAGGGAGGTGATGATTGAGTTGGCTACAACTTCTGCTTGGTTGTTTCTTGTTGCTCCGATCTGCTACTGTTACTGCTAGTTGTTTTATTTTTGTTTTATGTTGTAATGTAATTTTATGTTTTATGGAACTCTGTAATATGTTTTTTATTTTATATTTGGAACTCTTATATTGTGCTATGCCTTGTATGTTGAGCAGCTTTTGTCGGTTGGTTCAGTTGCATATTGTGAATTTGTTTTGATACTATTCTCTGTTATGTTGATGCAGATACTTATGATTGTTAACTTTTGAGATTTTGTGTCTATGCTTATGTTATACTTCTGTTTTAGTTTATGCTAATTACATATGTGCATTTAATAATAAAAAAAAAAATTGTGGATTTAATAAGTTGGGGGGGATGCAGTGATGTTAAAATGCTTAACCCTTGCATGTAATCAAAACTTAAAATTTTGTTTTTCTTTTCTTAAATTGTGATGGATTTGAGTTAATGCTTGAACATTTCGGAACAATAGAATAACATAGACAGATGACATAAGTTCTATTTAGAGTTAACTGACATCGTTGGAACTTAAAAGTTTACTACCTAACAAAATTGGTTTTATCCATGTATTTGAATCTAAGATAGCTTTTATTGCTCGGTTAGCTAGTTTCAGTTGGATTGACATATTTAAAAGGTTAGCTTCAGATTAATAGAATTAGAAGATTTTAGTTTATAAGTCCTAAACTTTGAATTCGAAGAAATAATATGAAAAATAATTTTCATCTATCGATGTGATGGAGGAATTCAAAATCCTTATGGGCTGATCTATATATAGTAATGCCCTATGTTAAAAAAAATGGGAAACATTCATATGAAAAACATATGATAAAAGTGTGTTTCATGATCAAAACTAGAAGTAAAAGCAAAATATTATATGAACATTTGGGGAGAAGCTTGAGGAGAGGCTCTATGAAAAATTGGTTCCAATTAAAAGTTGATTCATTGATTTTTTATTCCAATTCAACCTTCATGTTTATAAACTATAAATTGATCAATTTGACTTAATAGGGGGTTTAACTTTTCAAAGTTGATATGTTCAATTGAATTAGTTAAGCTTGTAATCAAAAGTGCTTGAGAAGAATACAGGGATTTTACTAATTTTGGTGTGGAGTTATTGTTTTAAGGAAAGATTATGAAAGGAAGCTTTATAGAATGGATTGTTGTTATGTTTATGTAAGTTTTAGAAGTCTGGATTGAAGAAGACTATTAGCAAATGTCCACTATTTATAAACCCTTTGAAAATTTAAAAAATTAAGTTATGAAATTATTTGAGAGCAATTAACATCTAAGTTTGAAAGATTTTGATGTGTTGATAATTTTGCACTTATTGTTATCTGTATTTTTATATTGTATATGATAATACTGTATTTTGAGGAAGATTATGTTATTTTTGTATATCGTAGCAGGAAAGGGGACGAACGGGAATCGAAATAGATCAAATTGGAGATTGGAGCAAGTCTAGCCACTGGGCGCTCGAAAAGACAGAAAGTTGGCGCTGCTTATTGGGCGCCTAAGCGCTGCCATCAGTGCCTAGGCGCCGCGATCGCGGTGCCATGGTGTCAGCCTTTTGTGGAAAAATTTACAAGTGTGGCGCCTAGGCGCGCGAACCCGAATTTGATATTTATGGCGGTTCAAAACTTAAGTTTGGGGAGGGAGGTATAAAATGCCTGATCACGAATTAAGGAGGCTTTTTTTCTTAGTTTTCTTTTAACAAAAATTCTTGAGGGACGAACGAGAAGGGAAAAGGCCAGAAGAAGATCAACTAAGAGAGTAGAAGTGAGGTTTGGGAGGACTTGAGAGACTTGTGCTTGTAAGTTCATCTTCTTTCAATTGTGAAGAAAGGCAGAAAAGCTTTCTAGAGTTTTACTTTGTGAACTGTATTATTTTATCAAATGAATTTATTGATGTGTTCAAGCATAAATAGTGCGTATATACTAATTCTCTCTTGGGACGGGGAAGTAAGATTGATGGATGTGAAAGTTTGTGTGGTTTTAAGTGTAAACGTTTCGGAGATGGCTAACTTCCTGGACTTCCTTTACACTTCTTTTTGGTCATTTGATTTGCTAAAATCTGTTGATTTTTTAGCCTTGGAAGAGATCATAATAGAATCAACTAAGTTAATCACATTAGCCTATGGAAATAGAGATATATCATTTAAGGTAATGCAAACTTACTGGGAGAATGATATGATCGGGATAGTAATTGGATTTTTGAAAGTAAGTCTAATTTCTAGACAAACTTCTTTATACTACCGGAAGGAGGTAAAGTTGAGTTGTGTTCTCGTTTGTTACCTTGATTTTCTTTAAATTACTTTCACATTCGAAGGTCTTATTTGAACCATTTAAGGGGAGAAATTTTAAGTACTCGTAAAACCCTTCACCTTTGTTGTTAACTTAGGATTGTTTTTATAGTATTTTCATTAAATTATCATTTCAGGCTAGGATCGACATATGTAGGCTAGAATTTTTCTTACCTAAGTTCATCTCGTTCCCTGTGGGATCAATAACTGGACTCAAATATCGGTACTATTGATACACCTTGTATGCTTTCGTGAGTAGGCCGTGCTTCACAGCACCTGACGCTTGTCACCCATCCCACCCACCCCCCTAGTCTTCAAAAATGGGATGTTATTTTTATCTTATGTACTTTTTAAACTTGCGACATGTTTGCTGTTGACCTTTTTTTTTTTTTTCTGTTTCTTTTTTAATTTCTTCCCATAGTAATAATAATGGACTTTTTAGTCTCAGTGCTAATTCTCAAACCATCAAGTCTACTTTTCAAAATTTTCCTTCGTAGATGCTACCCAAAAGTTTCCAAAGTATACTCATTTTGCACTCTATTACTATAGATTTTATTGAACGTCATCTTTTCATTTTTATTTCTATCAGTTTCAAGTTGTTTGTGGTAATCTCTTGTTTTCACACTGATTGGATTCATGCAATATGTTATTTTTATTACAATGTTATAAATTTAACCTTTAAATCTCTGTTTTTCGTCAATATTTTGTTGTACTCTCTTGTTTGCCCATTGTCATAGTGGTCATAGTTTTTCAACAAAATTTTAATGCTTGTTGTAGACCACCTAACGCAATCCTCCACTTTTTACATAATTTGCCCAATGCATGGATTAGAAAAAAATATTTTTTGTATACTTTTGAATACTACTTTAAACCAGTTCCAGCAAGTCAAATTCATGATTTTATTTCAAAAGATATTATAGAATTTGGTCAGCTCCTACATGAATGCTCGAGCTTGGAATATGACAAATCCTGAATATTTTTTGCTTTTGACAGGCTCTTTTAGATGTCTACACAATCGGAAGAGAATTAGGAAGATTTGATGGAATAAAATTGGGCCTGGTGGGTGATCTTGCTAATGGAAGAACTGTTCGTTCGCTGGCTTATTTGATTTCAAAGTACCAAGATATCAAAATCTACTTCATCTCTCCTGATGTTGTTAAGATGAAGGTAAAGATTTATCCAAAATAACAAACTGATCTTATCACAACTTTCTGAGTCTGCTTGGGTTTTTGGTTGGATGTAAAATCGGTGTAGCATTTGGATTGTAAGGGGGAACTCGAATGCAGTGTATAATTTCAGTAAATTTCAAGTTCACCGTATGGCTCATTTGTGGTGTATTCCAAACATGTAAGATTCAGCCAACTTTCAAATGCATCGCAGAAACTACCACCACTGAGCGCTCTCTACTGCAGCCAGTCGTTGCCGCTACTATCTGCTAGCCTCCCGTTGATGAGTTTTATATTGATTTCATTTTACTTTGAATCAAATATAAAATAGTAAATTCTTGCATTTATTTTATCTCTAAATTCTTACATTTATTTTATCTCTAACGGAACAAATCCAAAATATTTCAAATCTATTACATTTCAATTGACTAAAGTGTCTAAATAGTCCCCTTACTATTTACATGGGGCCATCTTAGTCCCAAAGTCTACAAAAATCTCAAATTAGTCTCTCGACCCTTTTAATATGAGCTAAAATAGACCCTAATGAGGACTATTCTAGCCCTCATTAAACAAATCTGGGACTAAATTGACATTTTTATCGATTCTAATAGTTTCCTACATAGAGTTGTGGGTTCATTTTAACATATTTCTCTATTTCAGTCATTATCTATTCTTTTTTCGACAAACCATAAAGCCCTTAATGGAGGTATATTATTGCCATATCAGCCGAAACGTCCTGTTTACTTGTACCTATCAAGCAAATTGCACATTTTTCAAACTCAAACTAAATGATTGCTTAATCTATAGTTTTCCTTTTTCAATGAAAAATAGGATGATATAAAAGAGTATCTGACAGCAAAGGGTGTTGAATGGGAAGAAAGCAGTGATCTGTTGGATGTGGCATCAAAATGTGATGTAATATATCAAACGAGGATCCAGCGAGAAAGATTTGGTGAGAGAATAGATTTGTATGAAGCAGCTCGTGGAAAATACGTAGTAGACAATCATGTTTTGAATGTGATGCCAAAGCATGCAGTTTTGATGCATCCCCTTCCAAGACTTGACGAGGTTTAATCAAGTTTTATTGCATTTTTCTGATATATTCTTGTCATTATAATACCGAGATGTAAATAATACTTTGCAGATTGCACTGGAAGTGGATTCTGATCCCAGAGCTGCTTATTTTAGACAAGCAAAGAATGGATTGTTCATAAGAATGGCTGTTTTAAAGCTTCTACTTCTGGGTTGGAGATGAAAGGGAGTTTACCATCTTACAGAATTGAATCCAGGGGAAATCACCGTGAGCTGAGAATGAGTATGGTTTTTTTTACATGCGATATCCATCTTTTTGGAGTTATATTCTCATTGTTTATTAGCTGATTTTATTTTTTTTTTCGCATTTAGGGTGGACTTTTATCTTATTTTTGCTCCTCTGGATGAGACTCAGTCGAAATTTTTTTTTTTCCTGCAAGAACTGGCAGTAAAGAGATGGAACTCAGTGACGCTTCTTTATAATAAGTATTAGTCTTGGATCTACGTATTTATTTTTGTGGGAATGCGTTGAATCAGTTAATGATTTGAATAAAGTATATTTGATTTCATTAAATAGTTTTCCATGTTTAGGTTTGGGATGTGATTTTTTTCATAACTCAAATCTTACAATGAAGTTTTTTTTTTTTTTTTGGCTCAATCCATCTCATATTTGATTGAATATCACTGTTTTATAGTTTTTTTTTAATATAAATCAGGTTACCCTTTCCCAAAAGTTTTCTAGAATGGCACACTTAATTGTGAAATTCTTGATAGAGACTGACCAGCTTTATCAAAAGTTGTCTTTGTGCATTATGACCAAATTTTTTATTTTTTTTTTACTTTTATCAGCTTATTATTCTTTCCTTCACTTCTAATGCGAGATTAAGATCATTTTTGTCCCATTTATTATTTGGGTCTTAGTTCCAACAGTCACTTCCTGCTAAGGTAGATGGGCTTCTTTGGATTTGGGTATTTATAGTCCACTAGCATTTGCATGATATGCTTGAATCATACATCATGTTAGAGTTTAGGTTGTTGTGTTGATGTCGAACATTAACTTTATTGTTGATGGTAGGTGTTAGCACTGGTGTCAATAATGTTGTTAGGCCTTGTTTGCAACGACAATGTTGGTGTTTGTGTTAGCTATATTGAGATGATGGTGAACATTACCACTAGCATTAATGTTGGTGTTGACATTAGGCATCAATTTTGTCAGCATTGATCAGCATTGGCCTTATTGGCAAGACAGGCTTCGACTTTATTGTTGGCAACTGTCTGCTTGGTTTCGATGGTGGGCATTGATGTTTAGGGTTCGGTGTTGGCTTTAGAGTTGAGTCAAGAATTAGCCTTAGACAATGATAGGTTGTCATTATCGATAATGGCAAATGTCGACGTTGGTATTAATAAAGATGTCATCTTTTAAGGCGATGGTGGGACTTAGGAGTGTCAAAAATTGACACAACGATTTGAACTCAACCCGACTAGACAAAATCTAGATGCAGCTTAAACAAATTGATTCTGCAGTCAAATTTGAGATTATAATCGTAGCTCTTGTAATTTTTTGGGTCAAGTTTTGGTCGACTTGCCAACCCAAATTTGATCTAATTGTCTCATATTAAATAGGTTGTGCGGGTCGACTTGCCAACCCAAATTTGATCTAATTGATCAATTTCTTTTTTGGGTCTCCAGAAGGATGGCTTAGAGTAAAAAATTTTAGCCATTCAACTAGAAGTTAGATCCCTCCATCAAATGATTCGAGTCCCTATTGATCCTATAATATTTTCTTCGACATCATATTAACTTAAAAATAGCAACTTAATAATATTAATGTTAAATGATCTTGAGCTCCTCAAATTTATCTCATGTAAATATTTTATTCGGCAAGCACAAAAGATTTAGGGGTTGTCTGATCCCTTCAATGATCTTCAAAAATTTTAAACATATTTCATATGCTATTTAGGTTCCTTTGAACTTGCACTGAGGCAATCTTAGTATTATATACATACATACATACATACATACATATATATTATTGGAAAGGCGAGCTGAATAATGTGTATGATTTGAACTGGCCATCTCTCAGTGAGAAATTATGCATTCAACCATTATATTGCGTAAAAGTGCACATTTATTAAATTTTTTCCATTGAAATATTTATGTTATTATAAAATTGCTAAAAATAACGTTTAAACAATCATAGATATAATTTTGAAATTTTCTAAACTAAACAGAGCCTCGTGATTAACAAATTTGCTTCAAGATATATACTTTTAACGGAAGAATAATGAATCATTATGTTTCTTATAACTTCTTAAGATTTTTTCTTTTGAAATTTTGCATGAATATAATCACAAAGTTGATATTTAGTATAACACGCTTAGAGAAACAACTGCAGGTTTACTCTATTTTTTCAACATCTGCAGCATACGGAATTCAGTGTATCAAATTTTTACTGGTAATAAAATTTAAAAACATCATTTTCTGAAGATTTCGAGTAAATTTAATCCCACATTTTCAGACAATCATATGCATTGGATCTCATATTCAAACTTACAGTTAAGCTAAAACACGCAACACTAGAATGTTTCTACATGTTAGGCTTAGATCAACATGAGTAGGGCAGAAATATAACTATTTTGACAGAAAAAAAAAAGAAATAGAAGGGTCTGAAAAAGATATTAAAAAAAAAAAAACTTTAAATGAGTCGTTAATTTTAAATTTCTTCATTGAAAAGACCTTTTTTTATTAAATACTATAATCATCAAAAGCAAAAAAAAGTTGGATGAATCAAAACAATTAAGTCCACATGTCCATAAAAGAACAAAATCGTAGCAAAAAAAAAAAAAAAAACGAAAAACAAAATTCTTGTTACAGAAACAGATCAGAAAACCCTTCAAGAAAAAGGTAAAATTCTGGGAATAACTGAAGCCAACTGCGAAGAACCAACAGTAACTTCTGCTTATCCAGTAAACAGACCATATGTCTCAGCTGTCTGTTAACTTCAATGGCTGATTTTTCACTGATATCCTAAAGAACATCCATGGGAATCCTAGTATCCAAAAGTATGATTTTGTACGAAGAATTCTTCTTCCTAATAATGCTTTATTTTTTTCTTCCTTACCAGATATTTTCTTTTATGAGAATAACGTTGAAGTGATTCCCTAGCTCTTTGTAGGGTAATCTTTCATGGAGATTATTTCAGCTCATATTAAAGGAGTTTGAGGATTAACTTGACACTCTTATAGATTCTAGGACAAAAACGGCCCCATGTAAATAATCCAAGGCCTATTTAGAGATTTCACTTTCAATTAGTGTCTCCTCGTGCTTGCTTGCTCCAAAGATAACTAAACTGATTGCCATAACAAACATTATTAAGATTGGACGACTGGAGTCGGAATCAAGTGTTCGGTTCAGAACTGCAGGGCTTCTTAGGAATATGGAGGGAATCCTCAAGCATGAACGAGAGGTCTGGCATCTGAGCCAGTAACATATCCACTTTGAGTTTGGAAGCATCCAGATCAGATGGATCATGATTATTCTCATTCATGTCTAAACTGCTGTGTATGGCAGAAGCATTGCCAGTTTCTTCGTTAGTTTGATTTGTCCTGCAAAACATTAAGACAAAAAACTTAGGCTTTAACAAAAATATAGAAAGAAAGACGCCTGATCATTCCTAAAGATTTTTATATTTGGTTAAGTTCTGAAGCCTAATTGTTGCCCTACAAAGAAAACATGCTATGCAAAGTTAGTTCCCCTCATACCTGTGTGCATCTGAATCACCCCCCTGTCTAGTATCGATGAGATTTGAACTTTGCAGATCATTTGAAGCAACTGAAAATGAATCCGATTGTATGAAACAACCAAACTCCAGGTCTTCTGCATCTCCCGAGTTCACTTCTAAAGGAAGAGGGTGAAGCTTGTCGCTCGTTAATGATGGCATAATTGACAAATTCCCGGATGCAGTGGTAGAATCTTGCCAATCATCAAACAAGTCATCATCATGGTAATTTAGACTTTTCGTATTATTGATTTCATTTACACTGCTCTGCCCCAAATCATCACAAGTCCTACTGACACTCTCAGAAGTTGTTTCGTCCCTTTCGTTCTTAAGATCACCAACAAAAGCGCTACTAATAGTTTCTACTGGATCAGTTTTCTTGGATGTCAGATCTACATCAGTGTCATCCTTGCTGAAATTATGCCCAATATTTGTGTTTTGATCTGACATTGATATGATAATAGGAGAAAAGCCACTACAATTCTGGAAATTATCAAAATATCCGAACTCCGTTGCAGCTGCTTCGGAATTCACAGATTGAAAGCCTGCAGAGTTCTGGATAGGATCAATAGGCCTGGAATCTGTTGAAATTGCTTCAGAATTCAAAAACTGGAAGAGGTCAATTTGTTTGGGCTCTGTTCCAACTGTTTCATAATCAACAGCATAATGGAAAGGATCCATAGTTCTTGACTCAGTGGTGACTGTAGCAGGATTAGCAGATTGAAAGTCTTTAGGAATGTGCTCAGGATCTATTTGTTTGGACTTGGCATCAAATGTTGCAGAACTAGCAGATTGAAAGTCGGTTTCCCAATCAGCAAAAGCATCATCCAAAGCGCCACTTTTGGCATTAGCAGAACTATTTGTCACGTCTAATGATTGCCGTTCTTCCGAAAAACCAAACTTTTGGGATCCAGAGGATAAATTGACACTGGAAGTTGTTTCATTTATTGTACTGGACAGAAAAGGGTCCCAATCAACTGAAAATGAGTTTGCATCATAAGTTCTCACTTGAGGTGCACTGCTTGTGGAGTGAGAAGTATTAGATCTGGAGAAAATCTCATTTTTCTGATCAGAGAAAAAATTATCCAAATCAACACCTGATAAACTTACAAGGGCTACCTGAGGAGCCTCACTGCCACTGTTATTATCAATTCCAGCAACTTCTCTAGGCCATCTAAACTCTAAATCCAAAATTTTAGCTAATGTCAACCCACCATTTGGTGAATTCTGGCCCTTACTTGACTCCTTTGATTCAGCTTCCAAATTAACCACTTCCTGAAGCATTACTGATCATAAATTATCCTCCAGTATTTTAATTGCATCCATAGAAAGTAAGGTAGTAGAAAATAAACAGTTGTTATTTGGACATGTACAATAATGCTAATATGGTTGATAAAATCTATGGAAAGGAGTAGTAAGAAAAAGGGCCAGACTAAACCTAAAATTGTTCGAAAAAAAAAGAGCGCAATAGATTTAACACCTCATACAAAACTAAAAAATGGAGAGAGATTATTCGTAATCCCAACTCAAAATACTTGTTAAATTTAGTTACATATAAAACACATTAGCATGTAATTTGCTTGCACAAGAATCATATTACAAGAATATCAGCTCCTAAAAAAGTATACAGCTTTTAATGTTGTCAGCTGTACAAGGTCGATAACAAATTACTTGTTTAAAGGAGTTAGGGAGCAGATATTCAATACTAAAAATCCATTCAGAAGACATGAAACTCTGAATTGCATGTCCCATTAAAGATTTAGATCCTTAATGCATAAATGATACAACCCAGTAAGGATGATTATGCATGAATGAGTGCATGTGACGCAAAACATAGTGGGATGCCTTTTATACCATTCACATTAGCATATGTACCTTCTTTCAAGAAAGATTTAAAGGACTTCTTTTACACCATTCACATTAACATTATCGATCTGATTTCAAGTTGTTTTCTTGAACAGATATTTTAAGTCCACTTTTTAATTTGTTTCAATATTTTGCATAATAGCTTAGGATACATCAATATGATGCAAATTTAGCACATCAAACACAATCTGGAATCAGCAGCGTGTAAAGCAATGCCAAGAACAGCACATGAGAACATAAAATGTATTCATAACCTTTTTCATAGCTCTAGTCTACTTTTAATTGCAGCAAAGTTATCAAAATTGAGCCATTGAGTGCAAAGAAAATCCTAAATTTTCATGACACGCAATGTGTATCATATATTCACTAGATACTTTTTATCAATAAACGGTATATCAGTAAGAATCCTTGCAAACCAATTTGTTTCTCAACTTACAAGGCACACTTGGGCAAGAAGATGGCTATCATAAACACTCCAAAACTGCAGCTTTCATCAAGAAACAACCTTAATCTGACCAACCCAATCTTTATTTCCATGTTAATCCTCTTTTGCGTCGTTCAAATTTTAGTCCGCTCAGTTATTTAATTTTCAGGAAGCTAACACCATTGTCATATTATGATAATGCCCCTGCAAAAACCCTAAACAGCATAACCATATTTTTGTCAACCAATCGGACAAGGTATTATTTAGTCGGCCAAACAGGTATTAGTAAACCGGAAAAATGGAAGCTCAAGTGCCCCTGCCACCATGGTTTGCACCCTCTGTATCTTTAAATTTCTCTACATAAATTTTCTAGCAACAGTAGGCCCGTATAGTGAATTGTATCAGAACAAGCAGCCTAATCTAAAACATCCCAATCAACATGGCATCTCCGTCAGATGAACGCAAACATCAAAAGGGATAAAAAGCATTTACCGAACCGTCAAGGTCGAGGGATTGGAGCAATTTCCGGTAACCCAGAGTGGAGTTGAAAGAGATCGTCCGGTAAACGCCATCCCCTCTCTGCTCTGCGCCACAGAAGATACAGATGGTTGAGTTGATCCCTCTGACAAGTCCTCCATGGCATCTCTTGCAGCGGAGGTAGTCGGGAAGAGTGGGATCGAGAGCCGCCACGGAATCGGCGACGGATGGAAAGGAGGGGAGATTAGGGTCGCCGGGATCGTAAGAAGGCACGCCGGCGGCCTGACGCAGGCGGATCTTTATGTCTCGGATCAGATCTGAAGGGTAATCCGGCGGCATTAGAGCAGGTTCGTTGTCTCTTCCTCACTTCTTCAGCCCTGCTCTAAACCTTGCTAAATTAAATATTACATGCACCATGTTAGCTCTGTCACGGCGGCTGCACCGCGAACCGCGTGGCCTTATTGGCATCTTCTATTACAACCTGGTGAAAATTCATGGGTCGGCTTCTTCGGCTACCTTCAAAAATCACGTGGCGCAATCGGCAGCGTTCAATACAACTAAACGAAAACTCAACGCATTGTCAAACAAATCCTGATGCTAATTTTCAGTGGTGTCAGAACTTGCTGAGCATATGTGATTAGTTTTTTTTTAGAGTAATATAATTTAATTCAAGATTAATAATACAATTAATTTGTTAATTGAAGTATTATATCAAATTAATTTTAATGAGTACAAACATACTGTTATCAAAACTGATCAGAACATTATTGTTAAATGATATTAGAAAGGGGATATTTATGTGAATATTTTTATAAAAAAAATTTATGTCCTATACCAATATAAATTATTTACTATAAAAGTAAATTTATAGACATTTATTATCCCCTTGATTATCCCCTTGAAAGGAGAAGATGAAATTAAAAAGTTGAGAATACATTTCGATCTTTCTTAGAGTTGGGATTGCTGGAGGATAGTAAAGAATAATGATGATAGTCAATAGATAGTAATTAGCTTATAAAAGACAAATGATGATTGCCGAGCAAAGATAGTCTTATGACTAGAATCCATCAAAGACAGTCTGATGATGATAATTGCCAATAATGATCATCAAAATCGATCATTGATAGGGTTATAGACTTCTTCATATCTCTTAGTTTTTCAATTTCAGGTTAAGGTCCCTATCAAGTATAGAAATGAAAATCTTTTAATAATTTTATAGCAGCGCTTTGATAATTTTATTAGATGCGCGCTATAAAATTTACGGCGGTGGTGTAACGGGCTATCGTCTTAGCGTTATACGAAAGTTCAGCACGCACACTGATGAAAGAAAAACAAACGGTGATGACTCCAGAAGAATTTATGTGGAAAACCCGTAAGGAAAAAATCACGGGGTCTGACCCAGTTGCAGAAATTCACTATTGATTAATGATTACAGAAATCCCTTGTCCCACAGAAGGGAAATGGTAACTATATTTTTTCATATTACAACGTCAACTGACGGCGTTTGGTTGGTGGTAATCGATGATGGTTAGTGGTGGTTGATGACGGTTGGCAGAGGTCGACGAAGGTTGGCGATGGTCGATAACAGACGGTGGTGGTCGTCGGAGTGCGGCGGTGGTCGACGACGGTCGGCGACAAAGGTCGGCTGTGATGCTGAGCTACAGCTTCTCCTCAAGGCCTCAGGCTCTCTCTCTAGACTTCAGCTCTCCCTCATATGAGAGGTGGGGTTATATTTATAGTGTTCTGGGTGCAATTAACGCAGGAATATCAACAATTATGATCGGATGGTCTAGATAGTTTCCTTCGATCATGCGGCGTTTAATGAACATTTGAGTGTCTTAACTAGGGGTGTAAACGAACCGAACACGAACGAACAAAACTTGTGTTCATGTTCGGTTCGTTTAAAATTTAGTTTGTTTGAAATAAGCTCGTGTTCGTTTCTTAACGAACGAGCCGAACACGAACCGAACACGAGCTGTTCGCGAACGACGAG